CTGTCCACTCTGTCCACCGCAGAGCTGCTGGAGCAGGAACCACGCTGGATGAAAGATGAACATGAACATCCGTACGTGCAGATTCAGATGAGCTTATGGTCTGTGCTCGGTTTCCTTTGTTAGGCCAAAAGTTTGAAGGCTTTTGGATGTTTCACACTCAGTTATTGAAATAATGTTTCACTGTAAATTCATGGAAAGTCAGAGCAAGTGAGCGTGTCAACATATAGAATATGCCCCTAATGTGATCCTGATTTTAATCCTCAGACCAGCTAAACTAAGACAAACATCATGTTTGGGCATCAACAGAGACCCAACAGGAAGAAGCTCCAAATCACAACAGCCGGAGCCTCCAGGCAGGGGCGTGATTTCCAGGGGGATGGGGGGGGTATGACACCCCCAATTATCAGACTCAACCAATATATATGAATTATCTTGCATAAATAGGCTGCTGATTTTCTTTACTCGTTTCAGTTATTACCAGCAAAACAGTTGCATGTGTAATCATCTGGGAATTGACCCCACCCCCCCACCCCCCAATGTTCAGCACAAAGTTACACCGATGCCTGCAGGCGCTACAGTAATACATAAAATCATAATTTTCGATTTTTGAAGCTGTTAGAATTGAAATGTGTTGACTGTCAAACAGATGCTTTCTATAAAAACAAGCGGTCTGAAGCAGCCTCGGTTTACGCTCCGCTCATCAAGCTAAACATTCATGAGGTTGTGTGGTGGGAACTTTGTCCGAGGCCGTGGAGCCTTTTCAGCCCAGAGGAGCACAGAACCACGAGGTTCCACACAGAACCACGAGGTTCCACACAGACCGACTGTGCCTCAGGTCTCAGGGTCAGCAGTGATCCCTGTGAGGGCCGCCGACGTCATCAGGTGGTGATGATGATGAAATGTACCAATAAAGTGCGTCATCTTTACACGTAAGAGATAAATAAATTTCACGTGGGGATTCCGCGCACACATGTCGGTGCTGCTGCGGATTTCTCGGGTGATTTAAACACTCACGCTCGCCGTGGCCCGGCGTGGACCTGCTCTGTAGTGACTGCTCTGTGTTCTAGCAGCTCTTATTTAGCATTAAGGTTTAATAACACGCACATTCCTGGATAATGTGACGCACAGTTTGCGCTCAGTGGTGCGGCTCTGCGCGTTCCCGCCAGAGAATCCACGCCACTCGTAACAGAGTCTGTAAATGAAAGCAGCCGTGAAAACGGGGCGCTTCCACCGGATTACGTGTCAGCTCCCACGGTGAAAAGAGCCACGCAGAAAACTCTGACTTTACCATCAGCCCAGCTCACTGAGACATTAATCTCGCCTCGCAGTCCACGCCTCTGATCTTTTCACAATGCTCTGCGTGTTTCTGTCCCGGCTGGCGATCACATGGAGTATTTTCGCTCATCATATTTTCCACACACGCAGTTTAATTACCAGCAAGTTTGGCGCAGAAGCGAAGGTTAAACCGGCGTCAACCGCTCCGTGTGCCTCCGGCGTCCGGGATGATTTTCTCATTGCAGGCAGGAACCGAGCGCTGCAACACACACACACACACACACACACACACACACACACACACACACAC